CAAAGCTTTGCTGCGCCCATTGACACGTCATTTAAAAAGGATTAGGACGTGACTCAGCAAACGATTCTGCGATTGGAACACATTAAAGACAAATGGTGCTCCTGAAAAATGAACGCCCAAAATTATTTGTGGTGTTGCAAGCATTTTAATAGCACAGAGCAGCTTCCGTGTCTTTTAATAAAACAGTTTCTACTTTTGCTTTATCTCATAGCTTCTTGCCAATTCGCTGTTATCTGCTTAACCACCATCGCTTAAATTGTGGAACTACGACACTTGGTGTCAAAATGAAAAGCGGGTAAGTGCTTGTTGACCCTTGTACGAGCACCGCCAACCATTGCCAGCAATTGTCAGCTCGGCAATTGACAATTGTCTGAGTGTTGCCGTTAAACGGATTACAATGCGCATAATGCAAAAAGTGCACTGCCAACAAATGGTAACGGGATTTATGGTAAGGACGGACCAACACACAGAAAAAGAGCAAACAAACAATTTTTAAATCACATGCATATACTCGCATACTGTGTTTTTTTGGGAAATAAAAAGGCGCCATTTGTCCTGTAGTGCAAAGGTTTTTACTGCAACAATGAACAATACAAAAAGTGCTGCAAGAAAAATTGTTAATGACGACCACAAAAAAAAAAATGGCATGCATTCTGACATGAACTGATTTTTGACATGAACTGCCACATCAACTGGGAAATGGATATTTGAAAAAATCGAGTGCCTGCGGAATCGATTTTCATTTTTGACATATAATTAACCAATACTTGTATAACAAACCGCATGCGTGAAAATATATGTAAGCGTATGGTAATGTGCCACTCGTCGCTTATTTATTCATCAATCGTTCGAAATGTTAAATTCAACTTTAGTTTGGGGGCATATTGATAATTACATTAATAGTAATGTAAGTTCTGTTCCCAAATACTTACCAAATTTATTAAAACAATGAGTTGAATATTATTTCCTGCAACTCATTAATAAAACACATGCATACTTGTATATTCCTGGACATCTATTGTGCCTACGGCAACTTAATTAGTTGCTTTGCTTCTATTTTTAACTGCTACTTTGTTTGGCCCAGCACTTAGGCAAAGCTAATTTTTATGGCCCAAGAACCTCTGGGTCCTTTAAGACACTCCCATGGGCTTGCCCAAATAAGTTACCCAACTTCAAATAGCCCCAAGCTGTTTACTTACTTTCCCTTTAATTCAGCCTCCATAATTAAATCGTTTTATTACCTTTTTTGCACAGTAAGCTGGCGGCCAGTGGCAATTCATGCACCTTGTTGGCCTGCAACTTCTCCTTTGTTGAATGCGAAAGCATTTGTTTTTGTTTTTGTCACATCATGCCCAACAATTAAAACACAATTAATTTGGTATTTTTTCTGAGTGTGTTTGTGGCAGTGCGCGCCATTTTTCCGCTCACTTATGTCCATCAAGCGCTGCTGCCATTTTGCTTTCTGGGTCCGCATAATGGCGACGACTTTTCAATGGACCCTGCACATTTTGTCTTGGCAGGAATTTCCGTTGCTCCTGGCCGTGTTATGGAAATTTATTGCGGGCAGACTTTAATTAGTTTGTTATTAGCGCGATGCGACGAATACTTTAAATCTCTTTAACACTATGTATAGAAAATAGCGTAATAAATGTTGAAGGCTTACACAGACTCAAGACAGGTGATGATGGCAAATAAATCACAATTTTCCAACAACTCACCTGCTATCTGAAGAAGCAGACGCTAACATTTCAGTGCACATGCTGCGAATACGTAATATGGCCTTCTTATATACAACTTTAAAGACACAACCCAGTATGTGGTCTTGGATCTTAGGTAGTGCTTATTATTTTACTCTACGTTTGTACTCATTCAGTGTGTATTACAATGAGCACCATTATCAAAATAAAATCAATAAATCTGAATAAAAGAGGAGGAGGTATGGAGGTGTGTGTTGCGATAATGTGGCGAAAAGAGAATGCAATGGAAATTCGGTTGTGCACTCAATCAATTCAATTAAATTTGCTATCATTTCGATTAGTCCTCCCATGCTGCAGTAAACATTAACTGAAATTCATTAGAATGTGTAAACATAATTAACTATTCATATACAAGTATATGTAATTTTTCCAGTACAGCACAGTATAAAAAGCAGATTAATTTGGAATAAAGCAACACTCATAAAGTGTTGTTTTGTGTCGAACACTATAAACATAATTACACTAATTGCGATACATTCAATAATATTGATTTAAAGAAGAAGCCTGTTATGTGTTGAACCACCTATTGATGCTTGTTCAATCAAAAAATTAACATCAGTTGGGTTACGAAAGGATTAACTAATTGCAAATTATTAAAACCTTTTTATATCTGACTAGTATTGACAGCCATTTTCAAAACATCTATTAGTAACTGCCTGCAAGATTAGTTAAATAATAACATTTAAAAAAAATAAAATTCTTCGTTTCGAATTGATTTGCTTTTTTAAATCTGTAAAAAGCTCATTCCAAATGGTGTCCAAAAATAAAGTTTCCTAGAAAATTTGTTTGTCAATCGCTCGATTGCTGACATACACCTTTTCTCATTCTTCTTCAGGAGATCTTTCTCCTTAAACGTTACAATTGCCCATTGTGCCACGAATGCCAGTTGGCATTGCAAGTTTGTTTGGATGCACACGTGACTTCCGGCAATACTCGTGTAGACCTCTAAGCGGTTGTCCTTGTTGCAACGATTTCGAGAAAATGCTAACAAAACGCACGCATTTGTCCGCGTGTGCTCCAATATTGTTGGCACAAGCGCCGGGCATGTTCTTTATCCTTAAGGATGCCTGAGGTTCATTTGTTAGAATCGTTGTATGTTTGCCGTGCACTTCGACACATGCAAATATTTGGTGTTGCTTTTTACTGTTATTTCTTGGTTTATCCGAAAAGTGCATTTCCTGCAACATGTCCTTTCAACTTTCGCTGCCACTTCAGCCACATATGACCTTTTCCCTTGCGGCTCTTGCTTTGCCATATTTAAGTGAGCTCGATATGAGTGTTTAAGTTTGTTCTTGTTCTTGATCCTTTAGCATTTATGCTCCTCTAGTCTGCAGGACTTGTTGTATTTCATGTTGCTGTTTCCTCTTATTTGCTGCCATAAAGCGTTGGCTCACTGCTTCCAATTGCACACTGGCCCAGATTGTCTTTTTTTATTGGTTTCGCATCTAAAAATAATGCCGGAGTATTGAAACAGATAACTGAACAACATGAATCAGACTTTCTTTCTAGAAACCCGAATACTATTGTACTTTTCTTGACCTTTTAGTTTAAACTCCAGCAGTTGTTCCGTTATGTTGTCTGGAAAAATCTGAAGATTTCTATTTAAGCGGCAATTCTTAAATCGGTACTGTGATAGTCATTCATATATTGAGTGCATTTATCAAATGGGATTTTTCCAGATTTTTTATTTTTATTCTACTCTTCATAAAGCACAACTTTTGTTAAATTATTTTGTTTAGAACTATATACATACTTAATATTTAATGCTCCTTTATTATTAATTGGGTCCAGTTTCAAAAGCTGCTGAAATATAGTATTAAGAATCTGGCGCTACATTTATGTGCATTTTACAAAATCGAATACTCGTAATAAGTACTTTTTGTAGAGATTTATGCCAAAAATAGAGTTTCGGACCAGTGTGAAGTATTGCCATAATTCATTGGCTAACGCATCAAAGTTCAGTTAAGGCTCAAATGATGTGACTACGAAATTAAAGTCCGAATGATGTATGTAGGAAATAAATGGCCAAATAACCACACTTATTGTTCAGACGGACCATAAGATATGTCCGATATTCATTTGACATGCATTGCAAATAAATGGAATTTGTATTTAACTTTCCACAAAATTAAATTCCAAGTATTAATTTCAATTTTATTGAGTTGTAAGTACATACAAGTATATACTTGTAAGGATTGTTGATTTTGTGATTCGAATTTAATAGTCAGCTCTGACTACTATCTGTGGCTGGACAGGATTCCCAATTTTGATTTAATTTTGAATTTCGTTGACTACCACTTGCTAGCTGTAAATGCAGTTACAACATATCTACGTGTGGCAAGAGACTAAATGAATTGTATAATTGCCAAACGCTGTATATTTATTCCGTTTAGCAATAAGCACAGCAAGTTTGTGTTTTTTTTTTCGATGCACTCTCCCACTCTCTGATATTTGATAACTCTAGAAAGTTGGTTCAACTTTGGTACTTTGTTGAAGCAAATGATATGAGGATAAATAAATGTATGGGGGTATTTTATTATATATGAAAAACTTAAATTTAACAAATTAAGAAATTCAGACGAAATGTGTGTTGAACAGTCTTACAAGTCTTCTCATTCCTTTCTTGTTTCTTCTTAAAATAATTATAGAGAAGATGAACCACTGGTAGCTTTCTTTAAGACTTGAACAAACTATATATTTCTTATAGCAGTCCACCACTGTACAAGTATGTACAAGTATATACTTGTACGAGCGGAAACACATGCCCATCCACTTACGCTTGCCACGCTCCTAGCTAAAAGCATGATAACTGTTTGCTGGGTTATAAAAACTGGACCATAAGCTGCACGGAAGTATTGACTAGAGGGTATTGAAGAATATTTATATTTCAATGAGTTAAATTCGATTTTAATTGGAGTTTTGTGAAAGTGAGTCTTAACTTTTAAATTGTTCTATTCATAATATTTTTATATGCCATGCAACTTTATTTATGGCTTGATATCAGTTGAAAATATGTTTTTAGTTGCAATTAGTTGAAAAGTTCGAAGGTTTTATTTAGTATTTCGCTGGATTTAGTTATACTTGTAGTTTAACTTCATTCTGTACGCGCTATGAAAATCGAAAAGTTATTGTTAGGTGGCGAATAAACTTGAGCTTCCGTAATAAAAATCTATAAATGGACAATCAAAATCAAAACAAGCCGTAACTTTTTTATAGTTTATATAAGTTTATTAACATGTTTTGGTTGCGGCAAACGGAAGAATTAGTTATTAGTTGAAGTTAGGGGCAAAACATTGGGACAAATATGTATGTCTGATTCACGTTCGTTTCCAGTTGAATGTCTTAGTACTCATCTCCCTCACCAGGATCGGCATCGTTGGAATCAATGCCCACCTCCTCGTAGTCCTTCTCCAGGGCAGCCAAGTCCTCGCGTGCCTCTGAAAACTCGCCCTCCTCCATACCCTCGCCCACGTACCAGTGTACGAAGGCACGCTTGGCATACATTAAATCGAATTTATGATCCAAACGCGCCCACGCCTCTGCTATAGCCGTGGTATTGGACAACATACAAACGGCTCGCTGGACCTTCGCCAAATCGCCGCCGGGCACAACAGTGGGCGGCTGATAGTTGATGCCCACCTTGAAGCCCGTGGGACACCAGTCCACAAACTGAATGGAGCGCTTCGTCTTGATGGTGGCAATGGCCGCATTCACGTCTTTGGGCACAACATCGCCGCGATACAACATACAGCAGGCCATATACTTGCCGTGTCGTGGGTCACACTTGACCATTTGATTGGCCGGCTCGAAGCAGGCATTGGTGATCTCAGCCACCGTCAATTGTTCGTGGTAAGCCTTCTCGGCGGAAATTACGGGCGCGTAGGTGGCCAGTGGGAAATGAATGCGTGGGTAGGGCACCAAATTGGTCTGGAACTCCGTCAAATCCACGTTGAGTGCGCCATCGAAGCGCAACGAGGCGGTAATGGATGAAACAATTTGGCCAATTAAACGATTAAGGTTCATGTAAGTGGGCCGTTCGATGTCCAAGTTGCGACGACAGATGTCGTAAATGGCCTCATTGTCCACCATGAAAGCACAATCCGAATGCTCCAAGGTGGTGTGGGTCGTCAAAATCGAATTGTATGGCTCAACGACCGCGGTGGATACCTTAATTGGGGAAAATCAATTGCAGTATTGCGGCAGATGAAAATGCTCAATTAATACTTACTTGAGGGGCCGGATAGATGGAGAACTCCAGCTTTGACTTCTTGCCATAGTCGACAGACAGGCGCTCCATCAGCAGCGAAGTGAAGCCGCTGCCAGTACCGCCACCAAACGAGTGGAACACCAAGAAGCCCTGCAGACCCGTACACTGATCGGCCAACTTGCGTATGCGATCGAGCACCAGATCCACAATCTCCTTGCCAATGGTGTAGTGTCCTCGCGCATAGTTGTTGGCAGCATCCTCCTTGCCAGTTATGAGCTGTTCCGGGTGGAATAGCTGGCGATAGGTGCCAGTACGCACCTCATCTGCCAAAACCAAAAATATAGTTTGTGATTTGAGAAAGAAAACCTATTCCCAAAATAAACCTACCCACTACAGTTGGTTCCAAATCAACGAAGACGGCACGCGGCACGTGCTTGCCCGAACCCGTCTCGCTGAAGAACGTGTTGAATGAGTCATCGCCGCCGCCAACGGTCTTGTCGGAGGGCATCTGGCCATCTGGCTGGATGCCATGCTCCAGGCAATACAACTCCCAGCAAGCGTTGCCAATCTGCACACCCGCCTGGCCGATGTGAACCGAAATACATTCCCTCTGCAACAGATATCCAGAAGTGCATTTAGTTTTGTCAGATGAAATGCCAATTCCCCTTAAAGACTAGCCAAGCCCTCGGCCAGCGTATGTCTTGATAGACATGAATTTATTTATATACTCGTACTATACTTATACGAAGCGCACTCAGCCGTAAGAAGACACGTCCAAATACCGCTTGAGATACGCCGGATGTTCGTTTCGAGCAGACAACGACGAAGAAGAGCGCGACAAAATTGAAAATTTTAAAGGCCGCTCTTTATTTGGAAAAGTTCATTTCCGCCCCATGATATATAATGGAATTTGAGATGTAGATTTTCGTCGAATTTGGAAATTGTTTCGAACCATTAATTAATTTATTATTTGTTTAGATTGCTTCGAGCGGAAACCAAAATATGCCCAAACATTTGCTGGGGCGGGGATTTAATTAATTAAACTACTTAGTTGCTTTTGGCAGCTTGTGTGTTCAATCAACATTTGAGTCCACAATAATATTTGCATATTAAAAAGCTCAAGGAATACATAAAGCATGCCATATACTTACTATATACTAATTTACATATGCATCTGACGATTATGTAAGTATGTTTTAGTTTTATATAAAACGACCACCCCAACTTATCTTCAATATTAATACTATGTGTATACCAATTACCCGCACCTTTCCATTCATTAAATGGACGTTTGTCATGCAAACAATAGCATTGGGGTCCGCTTATAGTCCACTGAGGGCTTGTGAGCAAGCAATTAACTTAAGATAGTTGCCGACTAATTACTAGCTGGTTTTTTCTCTTAAATAGATGCTAACATAATCTAGAACATCGTTTTTAAAACAAAGAAAAATGAAAACTAAATTTTTAATTTAGGCCATGGCTTTTATGATTGAATTATGTACATCGACTGCATTGTTTGTCGATGGAAATAAATAAATGAACCGGGCTCTTATGTTTGTTGATTTTATTTAGTTGGGGCTTGAAATATTTTGTTAATACATTTATTGATTAATTGAAACTAGCTATCCTACAACCACTATATTGGTATACTTAAGCAAAACTTGCTTTCTTCAACAACAAATAGCCTAAAACCTAATGCTAAATATATTAATTATTCGTTTTGATTTTGGTTTCGTTTCAAAGGTTTTTTAAGGTAAAAGTTTTCATAAAGAAATGTCTTTTTTATATCAAAAGCTAACATAGTCGTTCGGTACTAATACTTGTACTTATTATTATGTACAAATGAAAATATTCGTAAGTTATGTATTCGTATAGTACATTGTACAGCTATATTTCTACAAGTATTTCAAGTCGTTAGTGTTCGCTATTAGTGTTCCTTTCACCATAAAACGTTTCATGTTCATTTGACGAGAATCGAGTCTAGTTTTTATAGAGCAATTATATGTTAGTGTTGTTAGTTAGTATGTGAAGAATACTTTCGAGTTGCTGCTGTGAGGAAATTGTTTCTACACACAAGTGTCAATGAACTTACCATTTTTTTTTTCTTTTTTGCCTACTTTGTTGACCTCAACACAAATGGGTTTTCTTTCACTTCTTCCGCACGCAATCGTTGCTAAAACGAAAGTATTATTGCTGCTCTATTTAAGTATAGTACGAGTAAGTAGTCGCGTGCCGGTAACTTCCACAGTTTGGTTTGGCGGCCAAATAAATAACGCTGGGCAAAGATTTCAAGCGCTCGTCCGTAATGCAACACAGCTGGAAATCGACTAACAGCGGTTCAGCCATATGCGCGCTTTTATAGACGCACCAGCGGTTGCCAGCTAATGGGAAGAGGGGAGCTGGGTGTGGAACTGGGTGCGGTGCTGTCGTTTAGTGTGCGAGACCGGGACTGGGACCGGGACCGGCACAGAGACCGGCGCTACGACGCGGAGACATGCAATTGAAAAATGAGCATAGCAATGGCATACATATATATAAGCAGTATGTATATAAATATATTTATTCCGCTGTACATATGTATATACAATAAGGCATACTTAATCGTGTGTGTGTGTGTTCAAAAAGTCTGCAGCATGTCTATACGCAGCCAGCTGTTTAAAAGCGCTCAATACAAAAATCTCCAATCGCATGTATAGGAAGAAGTATGTATATACTCGCATATGTACATATCTAGAGACTTCTTTAGAATTGAAGTTGCACTGACGTCATCATCAACATCATCACCATCGTCGTCGGCGGCGTCGTCATTGTGCCGTGGCGTTCGTTGCCTGTTCAGGCTGCAGTCTTCATTTATGAATGCAAAACAGCATACTATATACTATACATACTTGTATGCATATTATATATAAATATTTACCTTTATTGGTAGGTTTGTGCCATATGTTGAGTGATAATTGTAATGTAGAGATGATTGTCTTCTTCTTTTTTGTCTTCTTTTTTTCATTTTGAGAATCATTTCTTGACAATAATTTTAGTTGAGTTTAAATAAATGTGCCATTTTTTTGTAAATTTATTATTATGCTGCAAATCGGCTTACATGGCTGATTGACAGTCTTACAAAATTTCAATACTGCAAGTAATTATCTGGTATTGATAAAAAGCTGTGAAGTTACGCGTTTCGATTAGAAACGAACTCAGATGTAAATTTGTTTTAAATGTTTTATTTCATTGGCTTAGCTCAAATAAATGAGTATTAGAAATGGGAAAAAACTCGATTAATAACAGAAGTTTTAATAAAAACCTATAGTACGGCTGTATTGGAATGCGTCAAAGATGTGTAAACTGGTTGACCGATGAATAGACGGAAATAAAGTTATGGGTATATTGACTGGTCTTATCATGGTGATCACCTATACGCTTTGTGAGTTCTGGCGTATAGACATTCTCAGTATACCCTTGCACCCTTTAAGTATTAAATGAAGCAATTTTTAATTTTGAATGAACACTTTTTAGGTAATTACTGATAGGTGCCGCCCTAAGCAAGTGCATTTATTTCTTATGACCATCCAAGGTCTAACTCCTATAAACATGTATAAAAATATACATAAGCTCACCGCATTTTCCATGTTTGCGCCATGCGTGTCCCAACCAAATTTCCCTCCAAGATGAGCGAGCACAGCAAAATATTTGCTTTTTCAAACATGTGCTTTGGTATTAATATTTTCCGCTTGCTCTTTTCAATTTCTATGCAATCGCTTTTATCACATCTCTGACATGTTTTATCTTTCTATTATTGTTGTGACCATTGAAATGGTCATTGGTCAAACGACACGGAGTGTGGTTCAGATGGGGAAAAGGACGCTTGGCTGCTTGCCATTTATCATGATTACTCGATGAAAAAAGTGAAATGTGGAAAATAAATTCGATTTAAACTGTCGCAGTTTATTTGTTTTGGCGTTCGAAGATATTGCCGTTGATTGATTTGAATCCCATTGTGCACGCTAACCATTAAAATATGTCCCTATTGATTAATGGCAGACGAAGAAGATGTTGCCAAAATGTGTTTAGAAGAAGAAATAAAAGAAGGCTAAAGTAAAATTTTAAAAATAAATCTTTAATACCCTTGTTAGGAAAGTGAAATGCGTTGTAATTAGCCGTTGGTGCTTTGCTATCAATACATATACACGCGTATACAGAACGTTGGCAAGGCGAAGGGATAATACCTTTGACTTACATTTAAGCCATAGAAATTAGATTAATGCATTTAATTAGCAGGCAAACAAGTTGACTGGAAAAAAAGAAAGAAACAATTAAAAGAGTTACACAAGATCAGCAAGAAGATTGCTGAAGCTGTCCTGGGATCCTTGCACTTTTTTCAAGCAATTTACCAATCATCCACAGCTATGGTACATTTATTTAGATATTCAGATCTGTCTGTAATAGAACTGATGTAAGATAATTTCGATGTATCAGAGAGTAGTTATTTGTTACATTTAGCAGGCTCCACATATCCAGCCTATCTAGTATGAAACGTTAAACACTCAACAAAGCGATTCCCCACAAACTTTGTAACAATCATACTAACCGTCTCAAGGCAGAAAGCTGAAATAAGCTTTACTACGAAGATAACAAGCACTTGGAGCAACATGCCTTGCAACACCAGCCTCCCATGCCACAGTCGCTGCCTCATACGAGTGCGAGTATGTAGTATATTACACATGTGACACATTGTTAACCTTTCCACTCAGCTTGCAAGTACAATGCAATTGGCCCAGTGCAATAAACAACAAAATAAAGGAAGGCAACGGCAGCCGCAGCCGCAGCCGAACGGCCACGTGCCTGCAACTCTCTACTTGTATGTGTCGCGAGGATAGCACAACACGCCACACTGATATATAGACTTTAGAATCCTTAAATGTGCTCGAACCACTTGACAATGGCAGCATCGCAATTGTCAAGAAATTGGCAGAAAGGCTTTGCTGAAGATTTTTAGTGCCCGACTCCTTGACATATAGTATAGTATATAGTATATACTATACATATAGTATATAGCCAACGTGTGACGCTCGGATGTTACAAAATGCAATTTTAAGCGGAGTTGTTCGTGTTGTGGGGCCAGTCAGCACGAAACTTGGTCTTGCAACTTTCAGTTGCCACAAACTGTGTAGCCACATAAAACAAATATAGTATTTGTGTGGTTTGCTAAAGCTTAGCATGGATTTTGTGATAGGCAAGTGGCGACTTAAGTCGTGCAATTGGTATATAGTAATGCTTTCGAACCTGCAGTGTTTAACAGCATTATATAATACTTGTAGGTCGTTTAGTACAATTATTTATTTTGTATTTAGTGTTAATTATAATATTATTGCTAGTGTACTATAGCTATTTATTGCACACTATTTATAAATTGTAAGTAGAATGTTTGTGACCATTTTGCGTTGATACTTTATTCATAACTGCTGTCTGTTAAAATAATGACAAAGAGACACAAAAAAGCGGAAAAAAGAAATACAAAACTTGAAAAAGGACAGAAAAACAGGACAACTAGTTTTTGATAAGTGTTGACTCCCACTGTTTTGGGATGTCAAGCAGCTCTGGCACAGGTGTTCATATTCGATATCAGCATTTATCAGGGACTGTAATCATTAAATTAGTTAATTAATTTCTTTTTTAAATTCTGAAATGCGAATGTATGTATGTAACAAGCAGGAGGAAACTCCAAAAATATATATGTAACACATATATATATTCTTCAAGCGAACGTTAAAACATGAAATAGTGTCATTTTATTGACAAAACGACCAATTACATCGTTAAATACGCTTAGATGCATTTAAATGGTGTAGGGCGAATCTGATTGGTTATTGAAAAACTCGTTACTATTTAGTTCTAAGCATTGTATGTGGCAGTTATTTTTTATGGCAATAGAGACCAATTTTTTATGGTCCTTGCAGCTCAGCAATTTGTCAAACTAATGCGCAACCATTCGTTCAATTGTTCCTATGCTCATTGATGACTTTTTTTACGACTTCAATGACCGAAGCTAAAGGCGTTGGCCAAACACATGCCAAGTTGGCAGTTAGAGCCAAACCAGACACAATAGAACTTGCCAACTAGTCAGCAATTTGCTGTGCATTTTGCCCGGAAAATGCGCAAGAGATCTCAACTTAAAATTCAGTCAATCAAAAATAAGTAGGCAATAGGACAGGCAGGCATAACAAAGCGGAAGCTTATCTCTCAGGCGAACATACTATAGCTGCCTCCCCAACCACAAACTCTGATGAAATGAATGTGTGTGAGTATGCACACATGTTGTGTGTGTGTGTGTGTTATGTGTTGTGTGTACATACTATACATTTGTAAGATGTCAACGGCGACTGCTCGCATTGAGAATCAGGCGAGCATGAAAATAATTTCCACACGATATCAATACCAATACTCGTATATGCGAGCTCATAAAAGTCAAACACGTCACAGATATGGCGTGAATGAGGACCGGGCGTCCTATGGCGAAGTGTGAAATTTGCATACAAAAGTTTTACACATGAGCGCCTTACAGCCAGCTATGTACGACTATATGCAGATAGATCGGTGTGTGTGTGTGTGTGTGTGTGTGTAGGCCCGCAGCTGTCAATGTGCGGCCATCGCTGTGGGAAGTGTGTGTGTGGGTTGCTTTTTTTATTCCAGCGCCAGCTCGTTATTTTGTGCCAGTTTGTGCAACAATTTTTAGAAATTCGCCGAAAATAAATCGGAGAATGTGCACATCAGACCAATTAAATTGGCACTATTGTGTGGAATTTTAATGCCTCTGCGATGCCATTGAAATGTTTCTAAATGATGTGCAGAGCTCGTAAGGGTTTAATTAATTGTTGCACCCGGCAATGCAATTAATTTCGTCGATGGCATGTGGTGCGTGCCAAAGTAATGCCACGAAAAAGGTTTCTGTTAAGTAATATAAATATAATGTGATTGCATTTGCGATATCATAGAATTGAACAATTGTGGATTGTGTGGCTGCGTAATAAGCTTTTACTGGCCATAAATTATAAATCAGGGCCAAATAGATGATTGCCTGAGTCGGCTTTTCAAAATAATGAAAGCAACGCCCTAAAGAAAATCGCTCGTAGGTGTGGCATGTGCGATGCCGCGAATATTTGAACAAAGCTAATATAACGAGTATATCTATATATTCATATACATATATGTTTATGCGTTTGTGGGTGTGTGTGTGCGTGTGGTTTTATGGCTCCAAGTGGAAGCT